AAAAAACGGAATAATAGATAAATAAAAATACAAGTACAAAAAAAAATAAATAAATAAATAAACAAATATAATATACAGGATCAATATACCGGTTAAATATAATGCTTGTGCAGGGATTAACTAGTTTTATTTGATTCCACTTCGTATATCAAAAGATCCGAATACATATCAAATCATTCTTAACTTAATTTATGTCTGTTCAAAATAAGGAGATGTGGTACATTTTGTACGTGTATGATTGCCAAAGGGAAACAATTACCAAACAGAATCAAACTGAAATAGTTGTAAGCAACTATATTTTACCGTATGCCCTTCAACAATGAGCAAAACCCATACCGTATAGTCAGCTATTATCAAAGGCCCTGACATGACAACATGAGAAACAATTCAAACGAAAAATTAAACAGCCTATAGTGCGTTTCTTTAGTCATGGTTTTCTTGATTTCAATAAAACAATCGGAGAGGTAATAGATAAATCTCTTATGATTTAAGTAGATATAGGGAATCTTTTTGATCGTGTTGTAAAGTTTATTTTCTTACACTGGCATTGGAGATGATGGCAAATGTTCATCCCCCCCTTTTACACACTTTGTGTTTGCCCCACCTCCCGACTTGTTGGCATTTTTTTTTTGGGGGGGGGGGGGGGGGTTTCATTCTCATTTCAAAATATATATGTCACCGTTCGGCCTTCAACAATTACCAAAACCCATACCAAAATGTAAGTTAAATATAAATAGCTCCTGCATGACAGAATGGTAAATAATTCAAAATAGAAAACTAAACCCCTGAATTATGCTAAAAAATATTAAGCGGTAGACAAGCATGGCAGCAACCAACGACAACCATTGAGTTGCATTCTACCGACTTGGGATAGGCACATGCATAATGGGTCGGTCAATCTTATCAGAATTCAGATCTATCGTAAATCACGTGCTCGTTTAAGTCTCATATGAGCAAAACAAAATCAGAGATCTATACATTAATTAGATGGTGTGGCGGGTTAAGGAAGTACACCACTAATTCATGGCCCCATTGCTTTCTATGTTAAATTCCCCAATTTCAAGCAGGCACGGCTCTTTTGTTTCAAGTTCAAATAAATTGACAATCATTGCATGTCAAAGCAACACTTTATGGTGCCTTGTACTGAAAAAAATCAACATACCTTTAATGGCATATAAGAAAGAACTGGTTCCCGGAACTTCAGATATACCAAAACAGGTACTTCAGATCTGACAAACAGGCAAAATGTACCCTCTTTTTTTAAATTTCATCAATTTTTTTTTATTTTTCAAAATTATAAGTCAAACAGTGTTCTACAATGATCACCAGTCATTCAGCTTTCATTTGATACCAAAATTACCTAAATATTCTACATATTTTGAAAGTTACACCCATGCGTAGGAACTATTTTCTGTTAAATATGTACTACTTTCTGGGTATGTGCTTTCTGGCCGGGCCCAAATTAGTGGTGTTGCACCTTAGACTTTGCCATGTTTCTGAGCGCAGAACCACCCACTAAACTGGGACATTCGTGTAGCAGAAAAAGATAACACCAAACTGTAAACATGAATTGGAAAGGGTAGACCTCATCAGATCGGCGTGAAATACAAAAATCACAAAGCAAAAAGGGAAAAAAAACAATCACAAAGCATCGATCAAAGAGAAAAAGACAAGCGATGATTGCCATGAATTTGAAAAAAGAGGGAGAATTTGAATTATATTATTAGAATATAAAAATAATTGAATCTATAAAGTGAGATGATATATGTAAATTTATGAAATCAGTTTCTGGTACAATATTGATTCATCTTTAACGTTGTGGCAATATCCGCAATATTGAAAGAAGAAAACATAAATAAATCAATGAATGGAAGAGCAAATAAAAAGTGATGAAACGTTCAAATGCATATCTTTTTAAAATGATTATTTGTAGCGTTCGTTATTCAGATATTGTCTGACAGAGATTTCGTAGCAATCACATCAGAATGCACGAGCTGTCGTCTGACTAGAGAATCGTATTGATTTGTTCTACAACTGATGTAAATAACTCTTGTATTTGCCAGAAATATTAAATTATCTGTTTCTTTAGAATTATTAAATCAATCTCGGAGAAAAAGCCAACAGGACAAAACTTTGATAATGTTACTCCATAATCTTGTGACCAAATCAATAACCAGGATCAACGCGAATTTACGAGATCATACGAGACTACACGTAATGCATTCAAATTGTTTGGACGCAGCCTTTGTTTAATAGAACGTAATTACATATTTTACATTAACAAACAAAGAGGGAGAACCACGTTCGGAATCCGCGGAATTAATTTAAAATCAGTGTCTTCAAAAGATTTTTCAATCTTGACTATATTTCAGTATTAAAGCTTTACTAACATTATATTACACTTCTGAACATGTGACTAAATTATAAACACTGAAAGATGCCCGAAGACTGCAATTTGGATAGATTTTGGCAAATTCAAATTATGTGTATAAAAATTATTTAGAAGTACAACCAATAAAACACCCAAATCCTATGAGAAGAAACATAAACCTTGCGTATTTGACATTCTGGATGAAACAAATACAGGGGGTCAGTAAGAGGGGTCCTTCATTTCTGTATTCTTTAATTTTGTAGGTCATGTTTCTGTTTTCTTTATATTTTTTGCCCCTTATTCTCTATTTTTTATTTTTTTTGCCCTATTTTTCTCCCATTTATTCTGCAATTTTTGCCCATTATTATCTACTCTGTAAACCACATCCAGACCCTCATAAAGGGGAAATTGGTCCATCCTTTCCATACACAACCATTCTTTCCGATAAAGACTCCAATGAGGCACAATCAAACCAAATCTACCTACTTTAATAGTCTTATCCAGTGAAAGTCATATCCATGATATACGTTTATGTTCTTTATTCCGCTGTGTACAGTGAACAATAGAAATAAGAAGATGTGGTATGAGTGCCAATGAGACAACCTTCCATCCAAGTCACAATGTGTAAAAAGTAAACCATTATAGGTCAAAGTACGGCCTTCAACACAGAGCCTTGGCTCACACCGAACAGCAAGCTATAAAGGGCCCCAAAATGACTAGTGTAAAACAATTCAAACAGGAAAACCAACGGTCTAATCTATATAAAAAACGAGAAACGAGAAACACTCAAGAACCACATCAACAAACGACAACCACTTAAACAGTTTCCTGACTTAGGACAGGTGCAAAAAATGCAGCGGGTTTAAACGTTTTAACAGGCGCCAACCTTCACCCTAACTTGAAATAGTAGTATAACCTTACAACACGGAACGACACAATGTTTATTTACCGTCACAAGAGACATTAAAAGGGGAGAGGAAGAAGATCCTAACTGGATACTTAAAATATTTTGTAGAAAAAAACAGAAAGTCCTTTGATGTAAAATAAACTTAACAAAAAGACAAACGCCAGTTCACAAAACTAAAGATTGAGCAGCACGAACCCATCAAACAAGGGTGAACTCAAATGCCCCATAAAGGCCAGTATTTGCGATTTAATCGTTTGGATATTCAAAAGGGGGGGGGGGGGTTAATAAATGAATATTTATTAACAAAATGCAGCTTACACATAGTCAAACCTTATGTAAAGTCAACTTTCTCTGAGGGAGTCGGAAACTTCACTTTTTGTAAAATAAATAAAAAGTATTAGGAAGATTAATAATGATAAAAGGGCAATCATTTACATTGTATGTTAAAAAGACAGCGATTCATCGAAACAAAATCAAAGTAAGTTCGAACCCCGCACTTGGCAGGTGCGTTCGACTACAATCTTAATTGACGAGGATTTTCAGTTTTCCTGTCGGAGGTTGGCTTCCTCCACCAATAAAAACTGACCGCCACGGAATAGACACCAATGTTGAAAGTGTGATGTTAAACATCAACCAATCAATCAATCAATCAATCGATCAATCAAAATATACACTAAGTATGTTTAGCGGTCCCAACAAGGCCTTCATTATTAAGCAGATGTTTTAACCGAATATCAATTTTCAAATCGTTCCATTTATCACATTTACACCATTTTTTCCATTAAAACTTGAAGCCCTTTATACCACAACTCTGTTTTCATCTACACCAAATTGCAATTTGTCCTATCTTGCATAAACAATGTATGCAATAGAGAAAACCTCTTTTATCTATTTTTTTAATAGCTAAGATTGTTCGTTTTTAACTTCAAACTCGAGCATTCAGCAGAATCATCTTCCTCCTTCAGTTGTATATATGTAACTATGTCTTTAAATCTCGAACTATAGTTTCTTCTTATTCGGAAATGTTAGTTATAAAATAGTGTTCAATTTGTCATTCCAATTACTCATTTTGATGTCTTAGTCAATACATGTCATGTAAGTAATCAATGCATTAATGATTATATCGCTCTGCAGGGGAAACTATGCAATAACTAGAACACATTTCATTTATTTGATACTAAAAGAAACAAAAAATCGGGAAGACATTTTCGTGTGATCATGAATCTGATCAGCGGTTTCCATTAGTGGGTTTAAAAAAGTCTCGCGTTGGTTAACCAATCACATGTATCGTCATCTGTCATCCATGACGTTCCACGATAATTCTTTTATACAAACATAAGTATATACAAGGGATGACTATAAAAAGCATACAATGAGATAGAAATAACAAAAATGTTGAAGTAAATGAAAAAAAATCTAACCATGCAAAACATTTAAACTGCTGAGTTTTAATCTGCTTTCTACAGGGATCCAGTTTTAGATCAAATAAGCAATAATTATCATAGGACCCACATACACACAAAGAAAAAGAATGTGAGCTTAATTTTTAAAAGACGATCTGAAGTCTTGCATGTATTAAATTTTTCTCATCTGCCTCAGATTCATTATCAGAGAAGTGGTGTGCTTTTGTTTGACTATAAATGTATTCAAAGTGATATAAAGGAAAATCTCTCGTTTTCTTTCTGTATATGTGGGTTCTTTGATAAAAACAGAGAGACATACTTCCCTAAGCCGCTGAAGATCATATCTAGATGTAATATTTTCCTAAACCATAATGTGATAAATTCATTTGATATGTCGACACTACATTGAATAGTCCATTTTCAAATTACTGACTATGATTCTAATTCAAGAGTTTTTTGGCAAAGGGAGAAAACACTTATTTAGGACAAACAGCATCCCTGCCTATACAAACTTTATTTTAGGAACGTGGTTGGACAATATTTGATGAACATCAAAGCTGTTATAAATGTTCATGATGTAACCACTTATCATTATATCTTATATTTACATTAAAAATGTGCAATGCACCTAAACAAAGTCAGTATTATTGTCCATTCACCTTGTTGGTTCCCATTGCTTTGTATAGGTATGGATAATTTGTTTCCCTTTGCAAAAAATCTAAGATTGGAAACACAGTAGAAACTTGAAAATGAAATATTTACATATTACAAAATGTAGATACTATTTCCAAAGTTTGTAAAATAGAGTTGCAGTTAACCAAAGATACATACATGTTTCTTTTATACTTTTATCCTGGTATTTCTATACTTAATTATGGTACGGATTAGATGTGTTTTAATTCAACTGAAACACTCTTTAAATGATTAATGTAGCAATTAAAAAAAACTCATTTTGTAACTACCCCCAGCTATGGAGGAACTTACATTCCAAAACCACCCAAGGTAAGTTCTCTATTGAATGACAGAAAACCTTACAAAACAAGCAGTTCAGCGTCATTTGTATGATCTAAACTACACCAGGCCCTGTCTGTTATACAGAACAAACTCCCTGATGAAACCTAACTTCTATTGTTTTCAAAATTTTAAATATAAAGTAAAACTGTTTAACTTCGTAGTTGACGTATATGTGTATGTGTGTCCTATGATAAACATTTTCTGATCTGCTTCAACTGTATTATTATACAAGCCGCGTGATCATTAAAAAAATATTCACTTTTCAAAAAGCTTGAACAAAGAATATACAGTGAAACCTGTCTGAACCGAACCCGTATGGTAAGAATTTTGTTCGGATAAACATGCGCTCATTTTACACACGGTCTAAATTACTAAACCATATTCAGTATTTGTCCTGATACATGCGCCCACTTTAGACAGGTTACTGGTTTACTCGGGGTTCGATTTGTACAGGTTAACTGTAAGTAGGTCAACAATACCTGTTAATTAAATCCATTCTATTTATAGTCTTACCTTTGCAGGCGTAGAGGAATAAGGTTCATCAAACAGTGCCCAAATTTTCGGTTGTATTCTTTGCCAGCAGTTTAAATCTCCCGATTGGTATTCATCTCCCCAGCCGAATTTTTTCATAATATCGTCTTCTGTTGGTTTGTCCGTATCTAGATCTAGCCGATCTAATGTCGCTAAAACCTCCGCCGTGTCTCGATGTGTAGTGTACGTCATCCAACAGCATGGTTCTACCTGATTGGAATCTAGACCCCAGAATTCTAATTCCTCTTCAAAAAGAGGCCCACAAACGTCCGTTGGGTAATGAAGTTTTCCTGATCGGTAATAATTCAATATTTGAGCAAACACGCCTGGGTGCCGATCGAAGAAATATTCGTTTAACACAGGGTCATAGTTCGCCAACGCCTCGGTTAATCTAGATAACCGAGTTGCAGGGATTTTCTTTAACGTTGCTTTGTAGGTTTCGTGGCGTATACCACCTACATTTATAATGACCCTGTTGTCAGCGTCCATAGTATTCATAGTCATCTTTGTGGTTATTATTGTAACAATATTCACAGAAAAAAAATATCCTAGTAAAAAAAGGTTTCGAAGAAATATTATTAAAAATCACTTTTTCCGTTTGCCCATCTTGGTTCATCTACCCGTCATTAAAACATTTCTGCAAATAAAAAGATGAAATTTGTTAAGAACTTTATCAAAATACGTATCCATCCATGACTCAAAATCAGAATATGCACAGCAAAAAACACAAAAAGCAAAGGAACAGCGCTTTTATTGCTGTCATTCATCTCAAAGTCTAGAATTATTTACAATTGGATCCTTTTTTGTCGTCGACAATATCGACTTTAATGTCTTGAGTTCTTTTTCTGGAAATGAACTAGGTGTGTTTTTCTGTGTATCTCTTGATTTTTATCATAAATAAATTGAAATGATAGGTTAGAAGTACTTCGAAACTAGGTTAATATAAACATAAGGATATGAATGATTGCCAATGAGATAACTCTCCACCATAGACCAAATGGCGTAGAAGTTAGCAAGTCACCGTATGGCTTTCAACAATGACCAAACCCCATACTGCATAGCAAGCTATAAAGGGCCACGAAATCACAAATGTAAAACAATTCAATCGAAAAAAACTATCGACCAGAATTATGTACAAAACAATAAACGAAAAACTAATATGTTATACAGAAACAAACGACAACCACTGAATTGCAGACTACTGAATAAGTACATTTAAAATTGAAAGTCGGTATTTTCGTTTGTTTAGAGGTTACAGGAATAAAACATGTTAAAAAAATTATAAGATTGTGTAATGTTATAGAATGGTGAAATAGTTCATGACACATAATCTTTACAGGCACTTGACAAAACCAAATAATAACAAACATAGATAGCTCTTATCGCAGTTCTTCACATTAAAGTCACAGTGAGGCATTTATCGCGTAGAAAAAGCTGTCAACTTGCTGCAAAACATATGTGAACAAAAATATCGAACTCCAAGGTAAATTCAAAAGCGTAAAGTCCATATGAAAATCTGACAAAATCCAAACTCACGACTGGTGAACCAAAATGAAGGTCCCCATCCAGACCCTCATATTAAACTCATTGGTATAGTGGTGGCTTACTGTGCCGGTTTCCCATGCATGTTGATACCCGATGGTACGTTCGGTAAGACAGACTAAATAGAGGCTCTTAAGAGCCTTTGTCGCTCACCTTGGTCTATGTGCATATTAAACAAAGGACACAGATGGATTCATGACAAAATTGTGTTTTGGTGATGGTGATGTGTTTGTAGATCTTACTTTACTGAACATTCTTGCTGCTTACAATTATCTCTATCGATAATGAACTTGGCCCAGTAGTTACAGTGGAAAATATTTTGTAAAAATTTACAAAAATTTACAAAATTTATGAAAATTGTAAAAAATTGACTATAAAGTGCAATAACTCCTTAAGGGGTCAATTGACAATTTTGTTCATGTTGACTTATTTGTAGATCTTACTTTGCTGTACATTATTGCTGTTTACAGTTTATCTCTATCTATAATAATATTCAAGATAATAACCAAAAGCTGCAAAATTTTCTTAAAATTACCAATTCAGGGGCAGCAAACCAACAACGTGTTGCCTGATTGGTCTTAAAATTTCAGGGCAGATAGATCTTGACCTGATAAACAATTTTACCAGATCTGCTCTAAATGCTTTGGTTTCAGAGATATGAGCCAAAAACTGCATTTTACCCTATGTACTATTTTTTAGCCATGTCGGCCATCTTGGTTCGCGGGCGGGGTCATCGGACACATTTTTTAAATTAGATACCCTAATGATGATTGTGGACAAGTTTGGTTAAATTTGTCTTAGTAGTTTCAGAGGAGAAGATTTTTGTAAAAGATTACGAAAATTTACGAAAAATGGTTAAAAATTGACTATAAAGCAATAACTCCTTAAGGGGTCAACTGACCATTTTGGTCAAGTTGACTTATTTGTAGATCTTACTTTGCTGAACATTATTGCTGTTTACAGTTTATCTCTCTATCTATAATAATATTCAAGATAATAACCAAAAACGGCATAAACGGGATAAACAATTTTACCACAATGTCAGATTTGTTCTAAATGCTTTGGTTTCAGAGATATAAGCCAAAATCTACATTTTACCCCTATGTTCTATTTTTAGCCATGGCGGCCATCTTGGTTGGTTGGCCGGGTCACCGGACACATTTTTTAAAACTAGATACTCCAATGATGATTGTGGCCAAGTTTGGTCAAATTTGGCCCAGTAGTTTCAGAGGAGAAGATTTTTGTAAATGTTTACGGACGCAGGACGACGGACGACGGACACCAAGTGATGAGAAAAGCTCACTTGGCCCCTTGGGCCAAGTGAGCTAAAAATGTACACAGGTTATTGTTGCATATGTAGTTAACTTGGATACTATTTTGCTTTATTTTCCACCCGCAAGTTCGACTCCAATCTTGAATGACTTAGATTGTTAGTTTACCTGCGGAAGGTCGGTGGCTCCCCCCGTGCAATGCGTCTTTCTCGTCCAATAAAAACTAACCGTGACGATATAGTCAATAGTGCTGAAAGTAGCATTAAACACCATGCAACAATCAATCAATCTTATTTTCCACGACTTTTATATACTCTGAATATTGTTTAAGTTCCTTCTACATCTCTCAATATTTCATTCTTTAACCTTTGCCAAGAAATATAAAACGAAGATTAATGCTCAGACAGTTTTGTCTGTTGTTTAACTAAAATGTATACATTTTCTGTACACCATCCATGATTTGCTTAACGCCCGTATCAATCATTTACTAAATAAAAAGAGTAATCAATTATTTAATTACCAGTTGTATGATCAAATCATGTGATGTCGGCTATTAATTAAATAGGATCGGGAAATCAAAGTGAAAATTATTCAAGATTCTATAAAAAATAATTACTAAACACCTAAATGCTTACAATGAACGCAATTAAGACACCAAGATCAAGAACCGTCATGTTCCTCTAGAGCAAACGTAGTGCGTCGAAGGTTTTTTCATCGAAAAAATGCGTATATAATTATATACCCAACCTTCACGCCTCAAAGTAGAGTATCATAGGGGGGAAGGACATGAGGTGAGAGAAATACCCCCGCCCCCTTTTACCACCGCACCCCTAAACAATCACGCAAACAGAAACTTTTAAATCTCATTTTCCAAACTTTATAGTTGATATACATGTACTCTGAAGATTCTTCTTTTCGACCTGGTTATGTTTAAGTTATAGACTCTGGGCGTACATTCTGCTTGACTTTCAAATCATTCGTATCAAAAGTGTGCCCATTAAATTAGGACATAGTGTTTCTGATTCGATTGTCATTTCATGGTCCCAACAATTCCGAAATGATCATTGGATGTCAAAAACACATCCGATAACTACTTATTTGAATTTCACGCATACATACACAGGCAAAATTGGCTCACGCGAAATTCACCTCAAATGAGGTTGTACATGAAATTTTTCATGTGAATTTCACGTGAACTTTACAAAAAAAAAATTGGTATTTTTCATGATTTTAATTAAATTTGAAAATTAAGATGTTATTTGAATAATTTTATTTTTAGAATTCACGTGATTTTCACATGAGATTCACGTGAAACGCACATGAACTGATATCACGTGAGTTTCACGTATAATATAAATAAGATGTGGTATGAGTGCCAATGAGACAACTATCCATCCAAGTCACAATGTGTAAAAATATAAGCTCGTTTGAGGTGAAATTCACGTTAATTTCATGTGATATTCACATGAATTTAAATTCACCTGAAATTCATGCGAGTGAAATTTCCTTGTGTAACACATTGCTTTGTAGCTCAGGGTGCATTTACATGTGTCAAGATTTTCTAATTTTCCTTGTTTTAGTGCTTGTTATGTTTTTACCAATGCTTTCCTCTATGGTCCTCTTTAGATAGTATACTGTTTTATGTCTGTGTGTAACCCTATTAAGCCTATTGTATTTTGTATTGTTTTGTCATTGTATATAGCCCACAAAATGTATGTTATATGTAATATAATTGTACGAACTATAAATGAAGCGTTTATTTGCATGTAATGTGTCGCTCTTAGCATTCCTGGTGAAGATTCACACTCGTAACCTGTCTATTTAGAGGATTTTATGAGGGTCTGAGTGGGGTTTAGAGAATATAATTTATTTTTAATGGACATGAAGTTATGAACTCTCTATTTTAACTTTGATTTTTAGGATTTCTCATTGCAAAATATGTTAGTGTTTTTTTTTTTATATTTTGGAGACGACAGACGACATATATACACATGCATTCAATGAAAGATTCACACATTTGTTTTAAACTCAGTTTAAATGTTTCTGACAGCCTCATTTTAATTTTACTTTTTTTTTACTCTGAGGTCTTTACACTCAAGTTTAAACTGACATTACATCACACATGCAACGTTATAGATCTGACAACAAACTGATAGCGATGAAGTGTTCATTTAACTGTGTATTGATTACAACATAAAGAATTCCTCTTCACTTGTCATTTTCAATTTATAATTAATAAAAAGTGTGTTTGATCAATTAAAATACAATTACTTGTGCTATTTTATAGTAGTGTCAACAGAGCGCGGAATGATATTCTTTAAAGGAATTGTTATATGGCTAGGTTAATCGAAGACTAGATTGAGATCGGCGGAATAATCGATACTGTCATACAAAGAAAGCAAATATTTTTTTTCTGTCAACAGAACGAATTGTTTTCCAGATAAGTGGTACCATATTTAAAAATGTGTGTTTGTGTGTGTGTGTGTGGGGGGGGGGGGGGGGGGGGGATACCAAACAAACGGTTGTTTGATACAGGAAGCATGTCAAGAAATAAATAAGGGCATTTTTTTGCAGACGACATAGAGTTAAAAATAGATATTATTCTTCGAAAATAGACCATTTTCCAATTACAGAGTTTATTTCTTTTTTTTTAAATTTTGGCAAAGGGAAACCAAACCTTGCAAAAAAATAAAATAAAAGTGGAAACAAGTCGGTAATTGGTAAATAGACCATTGAAGACCAGATTTGACCTCTCGATGTCATTGCTTTAAGTTGGGTTGCTACAGTACCTCAATAACGTACACGACATCTCCTAAGATATAAA